CTGGTATCAAAAGGCAAAAAGTGATATTAGTTGCATCACTAACCTAAACATTTGTTATTCAACACTTCTGAGGACACCTCCAGTAGAATAAAGCCGTAAATAGTTTGTTGTTCCAGCTTAGTAGCCTGTGAGTAATACACACTCAGTCATGGCTGATAACTGATTAATCAGCCTGACCAGTTCTTCCTGTTCACCTATATGGAACATGGTTTAATCGTCACCTCAGCAAAGAAGAAAAATGGCACGTTGGTGTTTCCCAGGTTAGACCTGAGGTGTTGCAAGGTGTTAGGGACCTCGCGCAGTTTTGTAGTGTAGTGCGGTAGACACACAGACCCATTGTGTTTATAAACTTGTTTCTGCCTCATTGTGTTTGAGGAAGTTTGGGTTTATGAGTTTAAAGCAGAGGAAGTCCAAGAGAAAAACTTCTCTGTTGCTTTTATGTACAAGAGAAATAAAACACATTCTGTTTCCACTTACATCTCTTAAAAAACAGATTATCGGTCAAATGTTTGAGGTCGATTTGCATGTTTAATTTCTGTCTATGATAGTAACTCTGTTTGCACCCGACCTGCCGTGCAAATCAAGTCTGTTTCCTTCCTGTAGCACATTGTAAAGTGTCATGGCAGCACGCTGCTGCCACAGTTCCTGGGAATGTACCGGATGAGCGTGGACAGCGAGGAGACCTACTTGTTGGTTATGAGGAACGTGTTCAGTCACCGACTGCTGGTGCACAGGAAGTATGACCTGAAAGTAAGGAACAGAAGGCACAGTTCTCAAAATCAATAAAAAAATTTCTAGCTAAACTTTCCTGTTCATGTTCTCTCTTCATAATGAAATTTACTTCTTGGTGCAACTTGGAACTTTATTCCTGCAGGGCTCTCTGGTGGATCGGGAAGCAAGTGACAAAGAAAGGGTAAAAGAAGTCTTTGGTCAAAAACATTTAACTTTTTCTGCTATTTCCTTCATCACATCTGTGGTGTGTGTTTGTGTTGTTTCTCTCAAAGGAAAAGGAGCTTCCAACCTTAAAGGACATGGATTTCAGGAACGACATGCAGAAGGTATACGTCACTGAGGAGCAGAAGGAGAAGTTCATGGAGAAACTCAACAAAGATGTGGAGGTGAGGCTTGTCTTCTCCAAACTGACTCCTCTCTTGGGCTAGATGATGATTCAATACCAATGAGGGATGTAAAACATATTACACTTAAATATTGCCATATTTTGTGTTATGATACTGAATCGATATTTAAAACAGTCGTTCCCCTTTTTTTTAATTAATTTACACACAAACATTTACTGTATTTCTTTTGAGTGGTGTAATTCATACTCCCCTTTATTGTGATAAATATTATATCGCCAGATTCTTGCCAACACACACCCTTCATACCAACATATCTATCAATGGATGTGCGGTGCGGTAGGAGAAAGGGTAGATAAAAAGTTCAATACAAAGGTGTCCCGTCCTTTATCATCTCATAATGTTAGAGTTGCTCTGCATTGGACCAATCGTGTGGCTAAGATCGAGCCACAGACACTCTTGGTGAAGCTGTCGCCTCCTGCTTCAGGTAACATCACTGGAAAAAAGGAGGGCCCTGACAGAAAAAACATGGAGGCCGACCGATATATCTGGCCGATATATTCAATTTTTTCTATGTCGGCCATCGGCCAAAATTATTTTTAAAAGCTGATTTAAAAAAAATATATATATATAAAATAAAAATAACTAAATAAAAATCAGGCACCTGTGTGGCCAACTGCTTCCACTACTAGACTTAAGAAAGGACCCGAAGAACCCCAACACACCATTTTTTAATATGTTTTGAGTTTGTTTTATATTTGAAGTTTAATAAATATGAACTCGTTCTCTGCCAGTCATTTCCTGATCACTAACGGCCTTCGCTGCCAGCGTTTCTCACCGTTTTTACTGTTTTTTTAAGAGTCACAGAACGTTGTGCGCTAGGATGATGTCGATGCCAAAACAACCAAAACAAAGAGGAGACTTACCTCTTACATCAGGAAGAATCCGCGCGTTTCGAGCGTTATCCGTTATTTCATAATCCGTTGTCGAATTGTCATCGGCAGAAGCTTTTCCGGTTCGCGCCTCACTTTTTTTACAGCAGCGGCCCAAAACGATCTCCTAACACATGGATTTTCTGCTTCCTGATCACGTGACGTATGCAGATGAAGATCGGCTTTAGAGCTGAGATGTTTGTTCTCGCGATGCGGGGGCTCGTCCGACGCCCACACAGTAAAACAATGCAAATGACAACTTTAGTCGTCATAGGCAGTGAATGAGTTAAGAGATTTATTGACTTATTTAATTTATATTGCACACAGAGTGAGTGTTCAGTTGTCTTTCACAATCAATGTGCTGCTAAAACGTGTGTGTGTGTGTGTGTGTGTGTGTGTGTGTGTGTGTGTGTGTGTGTGTGTGTGTGTATACATATATATATATGCCTTACTAATCGGCTTTAGATATCGGCAACAAAATTCTTTAAAAATCGGCATCAGCACCAAAAAAGCCTTATCGGTCAGCCTCTAGAAGACTGCAGCTGACATCGTGGCAATCACTGCTCACTTCAGTGAGAAACTACACATTGTAACACTTTGGTCTTCCTCATTCATCCTAGGTGACTGACAGCCCTCCAGCCACCTTTTACCCTTCGTCGCTTAGCAGCATCCAATCACTGTTTGTGGTCCATTTCTGATCACCAGCTGATTTGGTTGGGTAGACCTCTAGAACATGTCTAATTTATCTCTTGGCAAACATAACAAAATCACCAAAAAGCAGCAGAAACTGCTCTTGGGCCACTGATGAATGTTTGCAAACAGCTGCTGTCCCAGGTCCAGTCTGCAGAGTACCAGTAAACATAAATAATTCTAATAATTTGCTTATTTTTATTATATTGTTATCAGTGAATGGTTATGTAGGTGAGTTTGTCTCATGCAGCAGATATTCTGTTTCATTTGTCTGCATGGGTACCCATTAACCAGCAGGTCAACTGCTTGGATTTACCTTTCCTTACCGCCTCAAATGACCAAACAGGGATCATTTTTCTTAGCTGTTGTGTTGGTGTGGAAGTTAAAGGTGCAATTTGTAAGAATTCTACTGTCAAATAGTCACAAAACAGTCTAATGTCTCAATCACATTGAAATGAACATTATACCGAATCAGATTTCATTCTCAGCTGGCTGGGGGGTTCTCAGTTTGTTTCTCCTTTCGAGAAAAAAAAAAACGATTACAGGACATAGTTACTGTTTACAGAGTTTGTGAGGTCGCCGAATCTACAATGAGCTAACGCTGCAGCACAGGAGTTTTCTAATTGGACACAGGCAGGCAAAAAGCTCCAGAGTTGTTTGAAGAACCTAAACTAGTCGACAGGAGCGACCCTTAAGTTATTTCTTGTACTCCTAAGGAGCCACAACATGTTTTTGTTTTACTCTAATATCAGTCAAAGCAAACTAATGGCTAACATTGAGCTAACAATGCTACCGGTGAATTGGAAGCAAATGGTCAGCTCTAAAAATATGTCAAGCTACTTTTTAATTACCAACAACTCGATATTACAGTATGTGAAGTGAATGAGTTGATCGTAGCGTTTTACTTCTTCTGAGTCATTCAGAGCAATAACAGCAAGCCACACTTCCTGTAATGTTGGAGTCAAACTACCGTAATAAGTGTAGTTAGTGCTCCCTACCGTAAAATGCCTAAGAGTGCTAACCCCAGATATTTATCTACTTATCAACTTACTGTGTATGACTCGTCTTTGCTTGTCATCTACAATCTTCTGGTGCTGATTCGTAACTGGCAACAGTCATGGAACCCGTGGAACGGGAGTGAGAGTAATATTTTTACTTAAAATTGACTCCATTAACCACATTTGACCACGGGATGTCAGTTTTACAGTTTGCACCTTTAAACCATTAAAAGTCTGCTGATAGAGCAGATAAGTCGCCCGACACCAAAAGCTTTTTCTTTTATAATGTCTAGGGCTCAAACAAATCATCAAATGGTTCGATTCATTACATTCCTCTAATCATTTCTTACTGATTCGAAGCGCGCACCACAGTCGGAACGCATTTTACTGGCGCACAATGTGGTAGTCTAGGTGCTGTGGAGGTAAATGGAAAAACCAGTAAAGACAACTCATTTATAGAAGGCAGAAACAGTCTAAGGTTTGACATCATCACTGAAACTATGGGCAGATTGATTTGCTAATGCTAATGCTAGTGCGTAGCCCGCTAGCAATCAGGTGGGGTTCAGAAAAAACACGATGGTTGTGAACGACTATACAAGCAGAAGAACCCCCCCCCACCACCACCATCCTGTTTGTATGGATGTCTGCAGCTGCAGCGGCTTGGAGCAGATACCTGGAGTCGGGTTGCTACAAGTTTGCTCCACACACCACAGCAGGGTTATGGCAAACCATTGTAGCACGTAATTTACAAAGGCTTCTATCTTTGGGATTAATTTAGACTGGATTCTGTTGCCACCCGTATATAATAAAATAGATATGCCACCATTACATTGTTACTAGTAGAAATTATGTTGTTAGTATTTCCAGTAGCTACTGAACACGTTAATGAAAACAATCACATGGGGACATATTTGGATCTGTTATCCTGATCAGGGTGAGTGACGTTAATACAAACCTTGTTTTTCATATTTTTAGCTGCAGATCAAAGTCTTGTTCCATTAGGACCATCAATTAGAATATCAGATTAACCTACAGAGGATTCAATCCAGTATTTGAATACCAAAATATTTGATAGCTGCAGACCTAAAAATGTCATTATTTGCTGATAATTTTTAAATAAAATTATTGTTATTAGTATTAGTAGTAGTAGTATTTTGTCTAAAACAGAGAATCCATGGCTGGTTAAGTCTCTTCTCTAAACTAACAACACTACGTTCCCCATGAGGGCTGCTGGACACACAGAGCAGCATGTTGCAACTTAATCACACGTCAGTTTTTGGTGAGACTAAGCTTGCTGAAGGGAAAGCTTGGGTTTCCTGCGCTATGATCAAGCACATGCGCTACATCTTCACCTGTTGTCTGTTGTTGGACCCGTTTCTCTGCTACAGATCAATGATGGCAGGAACGAGTGTGACCATTTTTTCCTAATCCTAATTTTTGATCAGTTTTAATATCCTGGTAGTCGCTCTAAAGTCCTCCCACATTTTCCTCAGTTCCTTGTGAAGCTGAAGATCATGGACTACAGCCTCCTGCTCGGGATCCATGACATTGGCCGAGCTGAACGAGAGGAGGAGGAAGGAGGGGAGGTGTCCAATGAGGAGGAGCCAGAGACCGAGAACGGCCTAGCTGCGGGCGCTACAGTGGGCTCTTACGGAACCTCTCCTGAAGGAATCGCTGGCTACATGTCCTCCTGCAAACCCCTGGGACCCGGAGAGTTTGACCCCTATGTGGACGTGTACGCAGTCAGGAGTTGTCCAGGTAAACATTTAGATAAAACTAAGCTTTACTAGGCCCTGAAGCACCACACTTGTCTAAATACCTAAATAAATTAATATTACATGAATAAATACATGTTCTAGAAAGGTCTCTACCATTTTACAGTTACTGCAGTGATGGTTAATTTGTGGTTTTGAGTCATGTTTGTTTTGTTGTGAGGGGTGGAGAGTGGGGTTTAGTGGGGATTCCTTCAGTCAGCGCCGTTCTCTCCGTCCACCAGGCGACGCCTCCTTTAGGCACATTTTTCAAACAGAAAGTGTGGGTGGAGTAAGGCTCAGGTTAGGGGGTGACTGACTCTTTAAACTCAGTCAGGGGACGTAGTCGCCATCTCCTTAGCAGATCATGATTACTAGCCTCACCTGTGATCAGTTTAAATCAACAAAAAACAGTGTTGCCAACTCAGCGACTTTGTCGCTGTTCCTAACGACTTTTTGACCCCCGACCCCCCTCAACGACTTTTTTTCCGAAAAGCGCCTAGCGACAAACCTAGCGACATTTCTCAGGACCCGTTGCTACTTTCTGTAGAACTTTCTTGTAGATATTCCCTGCAGATTAGCAACAAAGAAACCATTTGCACTCTGAACCGTTCTTCCGGGAGTAAGAAAGAGAACGGTAATCTGCACATGTGCACGAGGACCGACCAACCATGAACCGTTTTCGGCCGGGCCGAAGACGAAGGTACAGCTGCGGAGCTGGAGACCGCCGATTTACGCCTGCTGCAGACTCACGCTTCCACTAGAGACGGCGCAGGCGTCAACCTGCGATCCCTGGTTCTGCAGCCGTCAGACACTTTGGCTTTTCCTGCATTTGGCCAATAAAGTCAACGGGAGTTTCAGCTACCGTCCCGTTTACACACGCAGCTCACGTGGCTCATCTGAATTTCCTTCAGTGGCACAGGGATGGTTATATTATGAGACACCCGCTCCCTTTTGCTCGGTGCGCCGTTATTATCACGATGGAGAGAATACACAACAGAGGTGTAAAAAACTAGCCTAGTGAACTAGACCAAATTCTTGCTTTGCAAAGAATGGTCTAGGCATGCTCCATTGGAACCTCAGCAGCTCCTACCAGGACTCTGGCTAGCCAATCACAACTCTCTAGAGGGGTTTCAAACACATAAAGAGCTGTGATTGGTCCATAATGGTGGGCCAATCATAGTGCTCTATCTGCTTAGTGAACAAATCACAGTGCTTTATCCGCTTTGTGGGCCAATCATGGCACTCTATATGCCTGGTGGGTGGGATGATGCAACAGAGTGAAACGAGAGTATGTCACATTCATTGTCCAGTGGAATGCGGAGATCATTTGAAAGACAACGGTAGAACCCGCCCCACAACGAAGAGCCGTCAATGGAGCATGGCCAGACTAAATAATACATTTATTTAGTCTGGCTTGCCAGGCTAGTAAAAAACAGCTTTTTAGGAAAATGTGGGTGAGAATGAGGAGAGCAGGAGGTCTGAGGTTTATCCTACAACAGAACTGTTTGGATCACCACATCATATCTGTCTTAAAGTAACTTTATTTGTACTTTTGGAATTTATTTTACGTATTAGAACCATTTGGGCCATTTAAATCATACTAATTAATAACTTTACACATGAAATAGTTTTTATTTTCTTCCCTTTTAGTCCCAAAAAGATGAACATGTCTTTAAAATCTTCTTTTGGATGCTATGGGGAAAATGAACGCCAATGTGGTGGTGGTGACATCATCAATATGCAAATTAGCTTTTGATGTCATCTGGCGGCATCTGGGTGACTTTCTGGGTCAACTTCAGCCACTTTCTATCAGGGGGATTTGGTAACACCAACGAAAACAGCTGTACCTGGAGCATTCTCGTGCTTAAACAACTGACTGGGTGGCAAGTCACCTTGAAAGGGACAGGGACTGAGTTGTGGGCAGACATAAGGAAAGAGATGGATATTAAAAAATCTAAAAAAAAAACGTATCAATCCGTAGGAGCACAGTAAAGTCTGTAATAAAGAAGTTGGTACTCCTTCCTGGATCTTGCTCTTCCATCCAAACTGGACGGAAGAGCAAGAGGAAACTGGTAAGAGCGGCTACCAAGAGGCAGATGGCCAATCTGAAGGAGTTACAGGACTTGGTGGTGAAGAGTGGGCATTCTGTACATGTGGTAAAGTGTTCCCCAGAAGTGGCTTGTTTGGGAGGGTCATAAGAAAAACACCACTTCCCATAAAAGACCACATTAAAGCTCATTTGAGCTTTGCTGGAATGCACCTTGATGATTCTGATGCCACAGAAGCTTCCAGGTAATTGTTGATGGACCAAATTCTGTGATTCTAGACTGGGATGGATACGGAGCTGAAACGTCACCCATCTGCAGGCAGTGGTCCTTCCAGTCCTGAGAGCTTTTGCCCAGATGTGGATGTTAGATCCAGTTCAGTGAAATGACCCAGATTGTTCCTGTGTTTATTCCAGGAGCCCCTCAGAGGGAGGTCTACTTTATGGGTCTGATAGATGTACTCACGCAGTACGACACCAAGAAGAAAGCCGCTCACGCAGCCAAAACCGTCAAACATGGGGTAAGTAGCTCAGGGCTGCAGGAGGCTGTTAGGTTAGAAGAGGTGGAAACGGTTCTTTCTGATTGTTTTGTTTCTTTTTCCTTTCCAGGCTGGTGCTGAGATATCCACGGTCCACCCTGAGCAGTACGCCAAACGATTTCGTGACTTCATCTCCAACATTTTTGCATAAAACTGATAAACGCAGCCAGATGTTCCAGCTGAAGTCTTCCACTGTAGACTAACACTACTTTATCCACTGGGATCCTTACCTGGTGACCAGACTAAACTTTAGATGTAGCAGTATCATGTCAAACTTCTGATGCATTTATTTATTTTTATGGTTGAAGATTTATTTCTAATAGGTATTAAACTCTCTGTAGGAAGTCGCTTTGAAGCAAACTGCTTTCGATCAGTGTTGAAAGATGTATTTAGATATTTTCTATCTTTATTTCCAGTTTAGTTTCTAACCATAAATTAAAATGTTGATATTAAAATGTGTGCTTTGTTGCACAGAATCTAAAATAAACAGACATTATTTGCCGTTTTTCTCAGAGAATATTAGCTTAGCATGAAGGGAAGTATCTCTGCCCAAACTAACACTAAATTAAATGGTAATAAAGAAGTTTTTATAATTCTTGTGAAGCAAACCCCAAACCATTCCAGCAGTTCACCGCAGCCTTACGGGTGAACTCTGGGTGTAAAAATCTGATCTGGTTCGTTCATTGTACAGCTCCATGTTAGTTTTGAGGCTTTAATGGAATTAATGTATGTTGACGTTGGACTGGGTAATGCATGGGTTAGCAGTTAAAGGTGTTGTTGACTGAAAAACCTTTTTTTTTTTTTTTTGATTATAATCGGTCACTCTGAGTTTTTCATGCAGGCTGAGCATGAAAACGGTCTCCTACAACTATCTCGTGCTTTAGCTTCTGATAGAAAATACAGTGAAACTCTAGGATTTGAAAATCCTCACACATCTGTCACTGACATTCATGGCCTCGCCCATCTTGGCTTGTGCACGCCCATAGGAAGGATTTTTTTAATTAATTTATTTATTTTTTGCAGCAAGAGCGAAGAGTGTGCTGGTGTTGCCACTTTGCAACATGGCTGAACGCATTCTGTTAGCCAATCAGAAGCGAGGTAATAATGAGTCATCCTGCTGTTCTCAGCCCACCTCTGCACCAGCAAACTTCTGCATCTCAGAAAAGGAGCATCATAGCTGTTTTAAAATGTCTACACTAGAGAACACTGCAAATGTTTTGAATAAATGAGTAAACCACACCTTTAATATGAGTCAAGATAACATGCACTAACACAGCAACCAAAGGGCCTTTTTATTTTTCAACCCTCTGTAGCACCTTCAATAGATAAATTTTCTATGTAAAAGTTATTTTCTTACCTGTTGTGGAAGCGGCCTCTGTTCATAGAAATTAAGTGAATGCTCTTTAGGATTGATAAGCTAATGGCTAGAGATGCACCAAAAATTGGCTTGCAATGACGTTATAGAGGTTGGCTAAAAAAATCACTGGTGTTGATCTGCGGTCAGACTAGCCGTTAGCTCTTCAGTCCTGTAAACTTAAGTTCTCTGAAGAGAAATTTTAAGAAGGTTATGTACAACCGATGAGATAGGAGTCCATTTTCACTTGGACACAGAAGCGCATGGCTGAAAAGAGTTTGGTGGCTTGAGTGCATGGTTTAGAGTTTACCCAGAGAGACTCCAGCCTCAGTCCCAAAGCAGACACAAGATGCTTTTAGAGGTGAGTGTAGGTGGATCAGGTTCCTCATGGACAGAGTTACTTCCGTTTCCACTCTTCATGCTCTGCTAACTTTTATCAGTTTGCTGTGCAGACACACCCTTAGCCACAAGATGAGAGTGAAAAAAGAAGCAGAAATGTCGTTCAGTCTCCTAGCTTCCCTCTAGATGGATGAGTAGTTGTAGTGTAGATGAGTGTAATATGCATCTTTAGTAGCAGGCCAACAACGGTTTGAGTGCCAAACATGTGGGGCTAACGCTTTCTCAGAGCAGAATTTGCACTTTGCATACGATCGATTGAGCTCTTGTGACAGAGCAGTGGAATCGAGCAGCATGGAAGGATCTAATACTGTTTTCTACTAAACTAGTTTTTTTTCTTTTTAAAGAATATTTACAGAACGGCCGTGTTAGCGGTTGGAAATAGTCCATCATATCAGTACATGAATCCTGTGAACATGTCTTCCTGTTGCGTGTCTAGCTCCACCCTGTGTGGAGGACCACCAGGGACCAGAGCTTCTGAGCACACCCATCCTGGTTCTGATGAAACTGTGCTTGTGTTTAAATGTTAAATGTACTCTGTGTGTCATTTAGAAGAGTAAAGTTGCTACTGTAGGATTTATCTGCTGTTTTAGATTTAGAGAACTGTGTAAACCTTTATTGATCGTAACACTACTTTTCAGCTGCTTGGCCTTAAACGGTGAGATGATCTGGTATTCCTGGACTCAGAAAAGGCAGCACAGATGCTCTGTACGATGGCTCGTCTAATCAATTATTGCACATGTATTTTTGCAAATCAGCTCTTGGACCAAAATATATTTTATTAAGATTTTCTGGAAACTGATGTCTTATTTTGTGTGACATGTGCGAGTTTGCGCGTGATGATTGTGGTGCAAACATTTCTTGGCATGAGCGGCTAATGGACTACAACTGTGGCCTACCGGTTTGAAAATGACTTAGATTTTAAGGTTGACTGTTACTGTTTATTTGCTCGGAAGGTTAAACTGAAACATGATCCTTCATTTGTGAAGAAAGCCTCAGGATGCTAAAACGTCTCATCCAAAGCAGTGACCTCACTCACACAAGCCTCAGAACAGCCTTGAATAAAGATTCAAACATCTTTATTGTTCCTGACGTTGGGACATTTTTGGTGCAATTTCCATTCAGGATAAATAAAAATAAAATAACGGCATATTCTACGGTTGACGTCACCGCGTTGGTGCTGCTGGAAGCTAGAAAACAAACCGCATTTGCTGTTTGAAAAAAAATATATAAAACACGGACAGAGCGCTTGGACGTCGATGAAGCAAAATCCTTTTATTCTCAAACAGTTACTCATTACTCAAGTAACTTTTTACTCTTAGGATATTATTTGTGCCACTACATTTCACAGACCACCCATCTCTGGTCAGAAACCGTTTTCGTCCACGTTGGGATGCCGTTTGGCTGAGATGTGCAGCTGAACCCCTTCGTTTACACCGCTGTCTCCTGGATAACTCCACATTGAATTGAATTCAATTCAAAAATACTTTATTAATCCCAGAGGGAAATTTATTGCTGTAGTAGTTCAGAATAAAAATAATCAAGTTGTCAAAGAGTTGTATATTACAATGGCTGTTGGCAGGAAGGATCTCCAGTAGCGGTCAGTGTTGAAGCAAAACTGAAGAAGCCTCTGACTGAAGACACTCTTCCGTTGTCGGACAGTCTTGTGAAGAGAATGCTCAGGGTTGTCCATCATTTTCTTGATTCTCTGGAGAATCCTTCTTTGCATTATCTCCTCCAGTGGTTCCGAAACTGCCTAAACTGTGGCTGAGTCCTTGTAAGGGCTTGGAATTCCTCCATCTTGTTGGCCAGTGATCTCACATTGCCCATTATTATCGATGGAAGAGATGGTTTGAACTTCCTCTTTCTCTGTCTCCGTTTAGCTCCCGCTCTGCACCCACGCTTCTTGCGTTTTAGCTCATTTGGGATTTGTGGCTTCAGTTGAGGTATTATTTCAGCCTTTCCAATGTTAATCAGCTGCTCCCGGTTGTAAACCAGACTGTTGCCATGGTTACGCATCATAACAAATGCTCAAAAAGTGTAAAAAGCTAAAAAAAAATAGCAGTAAAAATCCTCCAAGCTTCACAGCACCAGAAACAGAAAAGTAAAGTGTCCAAAAAAATACAGTTTTTCTTGAGAAACTAGAAGAAAAAATGTCCAAGAAAAGGCAAAACTTGCATATAGTCATCGGAGCTACTCCAACATGCAGCCACCCAGAGCAGCGCAGTTCCAGAAAAAAATAAATAAAAGAGCCTTGCTACTATCACCTCATCATTCTCAGATGTAGGACCTTTCCTATCAGCAAAATGATCTGCTCCACACTCCACATTAACCCTCTGATGCATGAATTATGAGATCTTCAACCATGATTTTTTAAACAATTTTTTTCATTCATCTTTAGGTGTGAATGAAACAAATTTCAACAAATATTTTTTGTGACATTTTGTTAATTTACAAATACTTTATTACATGTCCACCTCAGTGGACAGCGTGCATTCTGAACATGAAATATGGTGGCTTGCCTTACTGAAGTCCAAAGGGAGGGGCTCACATGCAATAAAGTCTTCAACAGCTGTGCTTAATAGCAAAAATAAATAAATAACAATTTTGAGTACCTGTCCACTGTAGTGACCGTTATGCATCAAAGGGTTAAAACTGCTACCGCTTTGCTTTGTCTGTCTTTAGCTTGGCCCGTTTGCCTTTCCAGCTGTTTAATGTCGTTGTGAACCTTACCTGGCTTGAAAATGGATAAAATAAAAAATCTCCAACATTCGATCAGGGTATTAAAAGTCTGATTAGCATCTCCCCCAACAGTGGTGCTTAGTTCCTTCCTGTTTGAAAAATGCACCTAAAGGAGGTGTCACCAGGCAGACTGAGAGAGCAGTGGTTTTAGGCTGAACATTTCAATAAAATGAACTAAAATGTAAAAAAATAATAATCACGTCTGCCTACAGCATTTAAGTTTACCAGCAAAAAAGTTGATTTAGGGGTAACTTGCTCTTTGACCTGCAGAGCCCTTAAACGACTCATTCTGGGAAGATGTCAAGAATAAAACTGCTGAAATCGCTTTATACGAGAAGAACTTTGTGCAAAGAACCTCATGAAAATATTTTGTGTCGACCATAGTACTCACATTTTTATTAAAAAAAGCAGGTCACCTTTAAAAATATTTAATAATTAGATTTTTTTATTTCAGTCAAAACAAAATTCAAAAGACTTGCTCAAAATTCAAGCTATGAGTTTCTTTTTTTTTTTTTTTTTTTTGTAGAACTCAGAACATTATTTTAAGCTGAACTGCTTGTTTTGGGGTTGCCTTGACCCTCTGCTGCTGTTGGGATAGGAGCAAGCTTTCTCTTCTTCACAGGAGCCTTTGGGGGAAGAGGAGGCTGATGGGCAAGTTTTTCCAGAGAATGAAAGAAAAAAAAAACTAAATGTTGTGTTTAAAATAAAGCCATCTCCTTTCTCTGATCTGGATTTATTATCCAGTCTATTATTCTGTCATTTCTTTTAGTGAGTGGTTAAGGCAGTTGCAGTAGCTGGCCCCAGCCTGGCCTGCCCTCTTACTCTAGAACCTCCCCTGGTGCTCCCCATACAGCTGATGTGAGACACTGGTCCTGATGGAACATTGCCTCCAGTCAGGGAGGAGCTCTAAAGGTTTATTCTTAGGATGGAAATGCATTTATTTAGAACCCACCTGGACATCTGTTCTTATTTGTGCCCCGTTGTCCTTCCCAGAGCAGAGAGGGAACATGTCCCATATTTTTTTTGTAGGCGTGGTACCTGCAGAGACAACAGAAGCACAAGAACATCTGGAACATTGTAACAAAGAGCTGTTGTGTGAATTTAGTGTTCGTGTGGGTAAAACTCTGGTGCTCACTTGTCTACCACATCCGTCCTCTTAAAGTTCTTCTCCATAATCGGTGGGATCACTGAAATGTATAAAAACTAGAAAACTCAACAGTTCTAATAACTTATGCTGCATAATTCATTACACTCACACACACTCACAATTTATAGGGCAAAACCAATTTCAGATCAATTAAAATCCTCTCAAGGAGGCCGCTAATTTAAAGAGCAAGTCGGCACAACACTGACAGTTTTAGGCAGAACATTTACATTTGAACTAAGATGCACTAAAGTGCCGGTTTATTTACTGCACGTGTCTACAGCACGATTAGACACTCATTTTAGGTTTGTCAGCAGAAACGAAAGTTGATTTAGGGGTGACTTGCTCTTTAAATGTGCTTTATTAACGTCTGTTTTTCAAACAATAACATAAAAATTCTCATAACAGCAACAAAGACGCAGTTTTTAATGATCCACAGCCGTTACAGTAACAAAAGCCAAAGCTGTTAAAGCTATAGCGAATATAAAGTTATAAGTATCTTTAACAAGACCGTCCACACCTGCAGACTTGTGTTAATGATATAAAGTAAATAACAAACATTAAAGAGCAAGTCACCCCCTACCAGAGTCTAACTCCACTCCCACTTCCTGTTTGAAAAACGCAACACATGCTGTTGCCTGGCAGACCGAGAGGGCGGAGCTGCTAACAAATACACACACACAGGCTCACGACAGCATTGTGACATCATAATGTACCAGTTTACATCATAGCATACCTCTTAGCCAATAGCGGTGGCAGATTTTAATTAAAATACAGTGCAGAGTTTTTACCTGACAACGGCACAACACTGCCAGTTTTAGGCAGAATATTTAAATTTGAACTAAGATGCACTGAAGTGCCAAATTATTGACGACACGTGTCTGCAGCACGATTAGACACTCGTTTATTTAGTTTATCAGCAAAAAAAGTTTATTTGGAAGTGACTTGCTCTTTAATGTGCTGTTGTTTACAGGCTTAGGCTAACGTCACCAGGGAAAACGTTAACGAGATTAAATGTACTAATAACTAAACTTATACAAAGATATGAATTCTCTGTGACATTCACAAATCCTACCTGCAAACTTGCTCCAACTTCACCAGAGTGGAAATGACTGTTGTCAGGGTTGGAATCAGTTGGTAAGGATTCTGTGCATCATGTGTTTTATTTTTTTCTCATACTTTCAGTTAATAGCCAGATTAGGAGATGCAAAAATGGGCCGCAGGGCCAAATTTGATTAATTTCTCTGGTTCACGCAGGTGTGTGGATGTATGGGATGCCTAGTGTAAATTACTGGTGCAAAATATCAAATATGTTTTATATTTGGCTAATTTTTCCTACATTTAGCAAATTTCATGACATTCAAAATACTTTAAATGTCAGTTTTTTGTTAATCTTAATCTAAATCCAACGGTGCTCGTCTGGTGACACTGAGGTCAAATTTACTGGAGACCACGAGATATAAGGGTGCTTTCTTGAAAGGATCTCCTCTTAAAAGGCCCCAAATCGTTCACTTCCAGCTAATCTTAGGCTTTGTGTCATGTTACTGATATTTCTTTTAAATAATACTAACCAGTTGTTTAATTTTCAAACCCAAATATGCATCAGATCCATCCTTTTCTTTCAGCACCACAGACAGCGACTGTAGATAAAGTTTGTGTTCTCTCTTTTGTTGCTTGTGTAGGGACTGGCCTACCTTCATATGATTTTATTCCTTACTGGTGTATTAATTGTGTCACGTACCTATCTGTGAACCAGTAAACTGCGCATAACCTGCCTGGTTTTCTTTAAACAGGCATCCTGACAGAACTAAACTAGTTTACCACCACCCGGAACTGCGCTGCTCTGGGTGGCTGCATGTTGGAGTAGCTCCGTTGACTATATGCAAGTTTTGCCTTTTCTTGGACATTTTTTCTTCTAGTTTCTGAAGAAAAACTGTAGTTTTTTGGACACTTTACTTTTCTGTTTCTGGTGCTGTGAAGCTTGGAGGATTTTTTCTGCTATTTTTTTTTTTAGCTTTTTTCACTTTTTGAGCATTTGTTATGATACGTAACCATGGCAACAAGCTGTCTTACAATCGGGAGCAGCTGATTAACATTGGAAAGGCTGAAATAATACCTCAACTGAAGCCACAAATCCCAAATTAGCTAAAATGCAAGAAGCGGGGATGCAGAGCGGGAGCAAAACGGAGACAGAGAAAGAGGAAGTTCAAACCATCTCTTCCATCGATCATAATGGGCAATGTGAGATCACTGGCCAACAAGATGGAGGAACTCCAAGCCCTTTCAAGGAGTATCGGCAGTTTCGGAACCACTGGAGGAGATAATGCAAAGAAGGATTCTCCAGAGAATGAAGAAAATGATGGACAACCCTGAGCATTCTCTTCACAAGACTGTCCGACAACGGAAGAGTGTCTTCAGTCAGAAGCTTCTTCAGTTTGGCTTCAACACTGACCTCTACTGGAGATCCTTCCTGCCAACAGCCATTGTAATATACAACAACTCTTTGATGACTTGATTATTATTATTATTCTGAGCTACTACAGCAATCAATTTCCCTCTGGGATTAATAAAGTATTTTTGAATTGAATTGAGTGTGGGGTAGCCATGTCTCCTGCGAGCTAATACTGCACAACCCACAACTCTAACGACCATCAAGAACTCCGGAGTTGCTTAAAATGGTTGCAGTAACCACATTTTACCACAGGATTGTGTTTTTACTTCATTTCTACATTATGCACCTCAGAGGGTTGCTGTTGTGCCCTTGGGTAAGACACTTAACCCACGCTGCCTGCTGGTGCTGGTCAGCAGGCCTCTCCTCTCAGTGCGCCCCAGGACAGCTGTGGCTGTGAGTTTGTGTGTGCATGGGTGTTGTAAAGCACACTGGAGGGTTCTAGGACTCAGGCTATTTTCCATTTACCAAACAAGAGAAATAAAATCAGACAGTTTCTCAGGCCGACATTTATTAGTTGCACATTTATGAAAAATAATCATTAAAAAAGACGGAAGCCCGAGATTATTTACAATCTTTTATCTGAAATGAGGTTCCTCTTCTGTGTGATTTTCTCAGCCTTTTTTTTTAAACCACAGGGTTTTCAGTCCCGATATGTTTCTGTGTAAAAGACAGTCCTTTTTTCTCCATCTTGACAAACGTCAAGAATTATATACGTACATACATACATATTTATATATATTTATATCTATATAAAAGCAAAAATCATTCAAGTATCAAAATACAGACGGCTCAATTCATTTACAATATGGATCTCATTGTAGTTGTAATCAGATTAGTCCCAAAATGTCTCCTGATCCTCAGTGATGTGCAAAAGCAGAACAGCACCAGGCTGAAGGCGCGGACGCCGGCGTGTTCTTGTACCGGCCAGACAACGTACCGCGTTTACACGAGTTAAATCAAAACGGATCTAAGTAGTACCCAAACAAACAGTACCGTCAGCAGTCAGTGAACTGGGAGTGGCACGCAGCTAAATCCTCACGCTGTAATTTAACCAAATACAAGAATATTCGTCAGAGAAACATCCAGCTCCAGCATTAGGACACACGTCGCTATTTAATCTGAAAAACCTAACATAACCTGGGATTTCACATGGGCGGTGTAGTGAAACGTTTGGTTAAAAACGTCCTCTCATGCAGGATTACACTGAGCTGACGTCATTATGTTTGAACAGGGGACGGAGCTACGGTGTGAGCTTCCTGTTTCGTACCGGTTCCTCTTCTACGATCTCCAGTAAAACCTGCGAGCTACATAACAGTGAACACGTACCCTCTTGCGAAGGAGGCCACAACTTAGTTTTTTTAGGCAAATGCACAAAAAATACTTGACATCTGATTCGTATCACATGGAGACATCACACTGGTGAGGAGGAGGAGGAGTGGCTTTTGTCTCCAGGATCCCGTGTGCAGCTGCAAACGCGATCCGACTGATGGTGTGATCTGCTGCGTTAGAAGTGGGTCACCTTTCCAACAATGACAGCAAAAAAATGGAGCCCCCGTGCCATGAAACAGGGCTCATTCTGGTCTTGTGTTTCTGAACAGGAGCAGAGTTCAGCTGCAGGGAGGGAACACGCACACACACAAAGCAGGGAGGTTAATAAACCGATGCTCCTGCACACGAGGAGCGTTTTACCAGCAGCTGTCAAACATTAACCTGGAATCATTTACACACAAAAAAAAAAGAGAAAGGCAATGATGACGGGATGAATACTGAAGGCATTTCTTATTAAAAAAAAGAATGACAGGACAGAGGAAATACAATTATTACAAGCTTGGATTTGGACAAAAGTGCTTCATAAGAGTCAGTACATCGTAGAATCATGCTGGACAATTCCCCTGGTGGACAAATGAGATGTTTTAGGACAACCTGGGCTCTCAACTGTCTGGAGAAGTAAAAAGGTCCTCGTCACAGTGCTACGATCTGAGACCAGTGTGGCTCTCCTGTATGTAATCTCTAGAACAGCTGCATCCCGCTGACGCGGAGTCACGGGAGCTTTGTTCGGGAGCAGGTGGGGTGCAGCGGGTGGCTTTCGCTGGGAGTTAATCAGCGCTCAGAGGAGGCGACAAGAGTGACCAGCCTCAGAGCGGCCGTCGCCTGATGCAGCAGGAAAGAAAGAGCTGATTTACTAGAGATAACAGTTTAAAGGGTAGCAGTGAGGGAGGGCGAGAGGGGAAGGCAGGAGGAGGTTGTAGGTTAGTGGAAGGCTTGTAGAGCAATCCGGCGAGGTGGAAGGTGCCACTGGTCAAACGTGGTAGAGGAGCACCGGCAGTGAAGTCGGGACAGAGGAAGTGGGTGTTCGGTGCACAGGAAGAGGTTAAGTCACAGTGAAAGGCACACAGGAGGAAGGGAAGCAGGAAAAGTGAGACCAGGCCCAGGAGGGTTCAAAATATGGTGGTCTCATACTTAGTGCTGATGGTGCGCTTGGATTCCTTAGAGTCCGTGAGCCATGCGGCACTGGCCTGAGAGCCGCCCTCTTGGTCCACTATGTCCCCCTGTAGGGACAGAGACAACATCAGAACCTTCGCGGCGTCGGGTTCGATCACAACGTGAGCTCCTGGTCTCATCTTCCTGGGTTTTGTCAGTGCGCCCCAGCAGCGAGCGAACGTGTGTGCATGAGTGGATGACTGTGTTGTAAAGCGCCTTGGGGGGTTTGAGGACTACATCACATACAGGCCATTTACCATTTTACATCTAGACACCTCCTGACCTACACAATCTCTGAGGCTGTAGATGCCCCCAGCTACCCCAGAGTGTTGTCATCATGTACCACCGCATCTTATCAAATCAAATTCAACAGTATTAAAGTGCTCGTCTAAATGACTACAGAGCAGGGCTCATCTGCAACCTGCAGCTCCGGACCTTCCACAGTGGCTTCAAGAACTTAAGGTGCTAAAAAATAACTTGTTTTTAAATATAAACGTGACTTAAATTACAAGGATTAAGCAGCTTTTCAAGCATTTATCAAAAAAATTGCATCAAATGTCCACAACAGAATGATGCTCTAAGTACCTGTAATATTTCTAAATCTATTTGTAAACTATATATATATATATATATATATATATATATATATATATATATATATATATATATATATATAAATTCATTTTCTGGAATGAAACCTGATTTTTTTTACTCAGAATTCAGAAAAAAACAGGAAAGTTTTTTGATTTAGGTGGTGTGTGTGTGTGTGTGGGGGGGGGGGGGGGGGGAGGTCTCTCTGGATTGTGAAGCTTGCAGATCAACAGTAACATGGTGCTGACAGCTGATTAAACCTAATTTATACAGATATAAATAGAAAATAATCTAAGTACTGTTGCAATCTCTACATTTTCATTTGTGGCTTTGCAACTGCAGCGAGACTTGTTTTACCGCTAGCAGGCCACTAGAAGGCAGCAAAGACAAGCATATAACAGATAGGTTGGCGAGTGAAGCCGCTGAGCTGCAGCTGGAGTTGAAGAGGAAAGGTTTTTCACGGGCGTTTGCGTAGAAGATGTAAGCTGGACAGATGAGTTTCTGGCTACTTTTTAAAGACCGCTGATCTCAGGAGAAAGTAAAGCTCTCCACTCACGTTTGTGCTCTACAGATGGAGGACATTCAGAGTGAGAAGCAGGAGAGCTGCAGCCCTCCAGTCAGCATGGACGTAATTTTCACTTTAGAAGTGGGGGGGGGACACGGGGGTGGCGGTGGGAGGGGTATCTTTACAGTATGTTCTAATAGGAAACAGGCTTCAACACAAAAGGTTGTTTTCTGCTTGGTCCTAGAACTCAACCAGTGTCAATTTAATATAGCGTAATATTGTTTTTGGATGGTAAAAAGTGCAGGGGTCAAAACTTGACTTTGGAAAAAGTGGGGGGGGGGGGGCATGTCCCCCCTGTCCCCCCCAAAATTACGTCCATGCTAGTCAGTACAAATATTTTAATAGGTGAAAAATAAATAAATCAGAAAAGAACGTTTTGACCTTTCTCTGACTTATTATGAAAAATCAGCACAGTTGGATCACAGTGATGCTCCAACCTGTGTGTTAAGAGCCCTGCACGGACCTAAAATCTGAGCCCGTGTCCGGCCCGGCCCGAGGAGGTTTTCAGGATTCTCTGGCCCGACCCGAGCCTGACTTTTTTTTTTTACCTTTTATAATGTTTTAGCGTGATAGAATGCTCCGCATTCTAATTATCTGTGGGAAGCGTTCTGCAGTAAAAAAATAAAAATAAAGAAAAGAAGGAAAAACAGCATCAATGCAGCTTTTTTTCTAACAGAGCGTATTTTTCAAGCGGCAGATGAAATTTACGAACACTATATTAATTGGATGTGTTTGTAAATTTAATCTGCTCTAAAAATGCGCTCTTGTGCAATTAGAAAAAAAAGCAGCATTCTAATTTTCTAACTGCAGAGCGCATTTTCAGAGCGGCAGATTAAATAAACGTTCCCAATTAATAAAGTGTTTGTAAATTTAATCTGCCGCTCTGAAAATGCGCTCTGAACCAGCAATGAATGCTTTTTTTTTTTTTACTGCAAAGCGAATTTATTCACAGAAAAATGGAACGCTGCCGTTTTCATGAGAATAAACAAATGGTTTCTGACATATCAAAGTGGAAATAAAATGGCATATTAGAATAGGAGCACATGTTTCAATCAGCAGTTTGAGAATTTGTTTATATAGGCGCATTTATAAACCACACAGACCTTAACTGAGCTAACGGTGCGTGAGAAGCAGGCAGGTGCTGCTGTGTTTAAGTGTTTCAGTTTTTTTAATGAATTCGATTAAAAATAAAGGCGCCCGGCCCGTGTCCAACCTAATTACACAGTCGTTGGCCCGAAGCCCGGCCCTTGGGCCGGGCCGACCCGCAGGCCTGGGGCTCCAGTGCAGGGCTCTACTGTTTGTGTCCCTCATTCCGGAAAATCCCGACTCACCCCAGGCTTCCGAACACTCCCCCGTGGTTTGGGCACAGGTCGACTGGACTTGTTCTCAGCTGCCTCGGAGCTGGCCCCTCCGGGGAGATTCTGGTGCTGTTTGGTCCTTTGGGCCTGCAGAGCAAGCTGATAGGCCACCTCAAACGCCTGACCCAGGGTCAGTATGATCTCATAGGTCAGGTTCTGTGTGAAGAGAGGTGAGGTCAGACTGAGATCCTACAGAAAAACACCCTCTGAAGCCTCAACATGCTAGATTACGTTTTAATCTGACATTTTTATAATGTGGAATTAAGAGTCGACTCAAAACACAGCTTCTGATGCTTCTGGGCATCAAAGGGACCGGGGGTGCCAGTGAACCCCAGGACAGCTGTGGCTACACCGTAGCTCATCACCATCAGCGTGTGGATGAGTGAATGCTGCAGCTGAAGCTTGTCGGGTTCAAAATCAGTTTAAATCAGAAGGGATGAAAATAATCCTGGGGCAGCAGTAGCTCAACAGGTTGAGCGGGTTGTTCAGTAATCGGAAGGTTGCAGGTTCGATCCCGGCTCCGGACAGAGAATTCTGCTGTTGTGTCCTTGGGCAAGACACTTAACCCACCTTGCCTGCTGGTGGTGGTCGGAGGGACCGGTGGCGCCTGTGCTCGGCAGCCTCGCCTCTATCAGTGCGCCCCAGGGCAGCTGTGGCTACGTCGTAGCTCATCACCATCAGTGTGTGAATGTGTGTGTGAATGGATGAATGATACACTGTAGTGTAAAGCGCTTTGGAGTCCTTACTCTGAGAGGCGCTATACAAGTGCGGGTCATTTATCGTTCATTTAATCCAGGAAAAGGGACATAAATTACATGACTAAGATACATTCCATAGATTACCGTAGCTAATTAAGAAATGATGTGAAGGACATTTTTTCCATCTTCAGGGGTGAAACAGAATAATCCTGAATAAATAAAAAAATTAAACTGCTTCCTGCAGGTTTAATTTATTACTGTCTGCGGTTTCATGTGTTGCTATGGAAACGTCTTTGTAAAATACAGACAACAAAAAAAACGAAAACTTTTTATGAGTCACGTAAACAAAAAAGTGTGTGCTTACCACGTCTACTGTGCTGAAGACATGGCAGTAATGATGGCTAGTCTGCAGGTCTTTAGTAATGTAGGCGAATGTACACAAGTCCTCCAGGTCCTGAGCTGCACAAGATATGTTTCGGATCTCATGCTCGGCAATGATGTTCTGCAGCAAAAGGAGTAAAATGATGACGGTAAAACGCTGATTATTATTATTATTATTATTATTATTATTACAAAGGGACACACGAACCCAAATCAGTTAGAAAAGTGAAAGAGGCACAAGCTAAGGTGAAACCAGCAACCGAAAGGCATCAGAATAAAGGCGCGATCACTTTGTTACAAGGTGAAAAACCACGGTCACCTTGTTGGCTGCATCTATAAACTTCACTCCCTTATAGGTGATGGAGAGGACGATGGTTGGGACTTTTCTCATTTGCTCTGTTGACCTCTGGAGGAAAGCAAATCACACCAAAGTTCATCAGCAGTCAGTTTGATTGTGGCGTAAAAGTAGAGGAGGGGCTTGTTGCGTACCCTCATTTTAGCACAAGCATCCTGCGTGGACTCAGTTCCCCTCAGATCCTTAATGAGCATAGAACCAAGGTACTAGAACAGGACAGAGAACGTTGATGTTGCAACAACGGTAAAGTCTCTACGGTATTGTGCAGTCCCAATAAAAAAGGGATCAACGTACGCTGGCTTCGTAGGCACAACATTCAAATATGAGTTTCTCAGGTTGGTGATGCCAGTTCTGGACCGGAGCGTACGGTGCTGCTAAACTCGGCGGTCGCAGCGTCAGACGCGGCTCTTGGTGCATCTCTTCATGCCGCTCCTGCAGAAACAGCCAGAACGATTCAAAAGGAAACGCCCAGATGTTGCTCGGATCCAATCACTGCTAATAGAAAACCAACCTGGGGCCGGTGCCGTCCGCTGCTGGATCTCTGGGTGACGTCGTAATCAGCTTCTGGCACCTTCTTTCTGCACGGCTCTCCTGCGGGCAGCAGATGGTCCATGGAGCGTCCCGTGCAGGACTCCATCTGGCTCAGAGGAGACGAGGTCTGGGATCCAGGCAGGTCGTAGCACTGCACACATGGAGTCTAACGCACTTAGCTCTCTAGTCCCGTCTTTACCACGTGAAGCACTGCAAGAGTCCTCACCCTAATCTGAGACAAGCGGGGAGGCTTGACAGGAGGTTCCTCATAGGGCCGCTCCGCTAGTGAGGCAATGATGCGTTTCCGGTGACCGAGCAAGGTGATTTTTAGCACCTGAGGGGGCAGACAGCAAAGATGATCAAAACGGAAGCGAGCAGGAGATAAAAAACAAGCCATCAAGCTATTTAATATCACATTTGAGTGGACCTCTAAAGAGTCATTAAAATAATTCGTCCTGCTCTGTTGACCATGAGGAAACGCATGCAAACCTATCAGTAACTATACCAGTTACCACTAATGGCTTCATGCTGTCACTGGGACCAAACGTTGGCTGCACGGTAAAACATGTCCCAGCATGTAGATGTATGTCCACCTTAAAGAGCAAGTCACCCCCTACAAGAAACTTACTTCACTCCCACTTCATGTTTGAAAAATGCAACAAATGCTGTTGCTTGGCAGATCGAGAGGGCGGAGCCGCTAACAAATACACACACACAGGCTCACAATTGCATTATGACATCATAATGTACCAGATGACATCATAGCATACCTCTTAGCCAATAGCGGTGGCAGATTTAAATTCAAATACAGTGCAGAGTTTTTCCCTGACGACGGCACAACACTGACAGTTTTAGGCAGAATATTTGAATTTTAACCAAGATGCACTGAACTGCCAAATTATTGATGACACATGTCTGTAGCATGATTAGACACTCCTTTATATAGTTTATCAGCAAAAAAAATGTGATTTGGGGGTGACTTGCTCTTTAAGAACCTTTGGAACTGTCCAGCTGTCTTTGACACACAAGAAGGCTATTCTTTCCTCTGAAACTCTTCAAAGTCAAACATAAACTCACGTTGACAATCTCCAGCTCCCACAGGGTCTTCACACACTCCAGGCTGCGGTAGCCGCTGGACAGGAAGTTGTGCAAGTATTCGTGTAGACCCAGGTTCTCCAGCCAGGAGGACAGGGAGCTGCTGCCGTCACATCCCAGAGCTTTTATCTGTCAGAAAACACACCTGTCACGGGTGCTTCCGGGGATCGAGGGGAAACGATGGGACGCGCGTGAGCAGACCGTCGTTGATCCATTACCTTTGGTAGAGGGCGCGCTGCGTGCAGGATCTTCTTCCTGTGGCTCAGATCTGTAATTCCAATCTCTCGCAAGTCTTGGTCCTCCATTACGTTGCTCCCCTGAGGGCAAAGCACAAGGAGGACTGTGAGGTGAAACATGCAGCCACTTTCATGATCCAGTAGATCGGTAAGCACTCAAACGACCCATGAAATTCCCAAACAGGCAGAATGTAACTAAGATAACTCCATCAAGAGAGAACTCCTTTCTGGAGGCTAGCTGCTGATAACAGACATGCTAACGTTGCAGAATCCAGTCAATTCTCCATCGGTGACATCGTCCACATGCACGGAGCAAAGAACTGACGAGAACGGACAAGAACGATGATCCAACCAGGAGTTGGTTACACAAAATAAAACATGTGATGTCACAGAGAAGCAGCCACGAGTCGCCATCAGCGACATGAGATAAAAGAGCAGAATCTATCCGACATGCGGGAGTGGACATCATTCATTTTAATGCCATGTTGGCCGATTTCATGACCACTCAGCCAAAAATAAATAAGTCTTCATGAAGTCATATAACTCAAAGCGACCAGTGGGACATCAGGAAGTCGCTCAGGCAGATCCGGAGGGCTGCGAGCCGTAAACAGCAGCCGAAGAAGGTCAGCAACTAAATCTGAAGAGAAGTCTGGCAGCTGCTGTCTGGGGTACTAAGAGTGATGGTTCAGTGTCCACGACGGACTCCTCTGGTTAGTCCTGCGTTCTCAGACAGAAGACAAGTTGTCTGAAGCTCCGAAGCAAACAGCCAATCAGAGTAAAAGTGAAGAGCTTTGGATGCGAGGTTGCCAGTGAATCACAACTTCACACAAAACATCACATTTGTGTTTTTTTAAATACCATCAACATGCAGATCCTGGACATTTGAGGAAATCTACAGCCCCAAGAAGATCAAAGGTTATATTAGGATCCACACGTTCTAAAACCTTAATCGATGTAAGGTATGACATCAGAACTCACAAGGAGATGCCTTTTCTCTTCATTAATCATTAAATCTAAGATGCCACCATAAAGACCATCAGCTGTGAGCAGCAACACGCTGGGGATTGTGGGAGCTGGATGGACAGCACTTGCACAGCGCATGGAAGATTGCATCACCGTCTCCGGTGCTTAACTGATAAACGACTCCAAGGGGGGAGGAAATCCTGAGCTGCTCACCAGGCGTAGCCCATTTCCTGACTTGCTATCAAATTATTACTTTTTCTTTGCGCCTGGCATGTTTGAACAAAGCCTTTTTAAACCCAACATGTCTTGGTGAGCATCACACCTTTACAAAGTGGCTTCAGCTGCAGTCCATGATAACGGAGACTGTACCGGTCAGGAAGTGGGGTGAGGTTGGTGTCAGACCAGTATGGTGGCCCTTAACTCCAAATGTTCATGGCGTCTGTGAGTTTACACCAGTCGTGCAGTGGCAGAAAACCAACCTTTTGATTCATCAGTCATGTAGGTTAGGCAGATCAGTTACTATTCAGTTAAAGTCATAAACACCAGTTTATTAAAGCTGTCTGCTCCAGGGATGTAAGGAAATATGGGGAAACTTTGATACTGAATTGATATTTAAAAGCAATGGATTGAATTTTATTGAGATTTACATGCAAACATTTACTATATTTATTTTGTGTGGTGCAACTCAAACTCCAACAGCTAGGTGGCAGCAGGGCCAGATTAACACTTTGTTGTACCCTGGGCAACAATATTCAAGGGCCCCATCATCACGACCCAAGGATCACCATAATATGGTCACATACAGAATATTTTACTGTAATATGCAGTAAATATACTCAATACTTGAATGCCTGACGTCACGTAACCCGCTCAGGGTAACCTTTGACCCGCCTCGTGTGGACTGACCAATGAGGAGAGAGAATTAACTTGAGGCCCTCTCTTCATTGGTCAGTCTGCATGAGACTGACTCTCAACTGACGTTCAGTCGTAGGCAGCGAAGCGTCTCTGTGCAGCGCAAAAGCCCGGGTGGACAGTTTGTTTAATGTAGGGTGATCATATTTCCATTTCCAAACAAGAGGACAGGGGATCTGTGCCTATGACGTCACACTATGGCAACGCCACACAAACCACGTTGGGACCCATTTTTTGTAAGAACTAAATTAATATCAGATTCTGCCAATAAAAGGGCTCTAAAACAATTCATATGTAAATATTTTGCATATTTATTGCAAAATCTCATTTTTCTGCTTTAATGCTGCAACAAGGTTTTATTAATAATAAATTATTATACCTTTTGTTTTACTACAGCATCGGTAAGCTTCCTGTGCACAGATTATTAAGGATGCTTGTTTCAGCTGTGAGATTAGACGATAGGATCAATGAAAAAATAAGCTGTGACACACTCCATGGAAACTTTCAGAGAATCCACAAATAGTGGCTTTCAGGTGGTTTTGTTACTTTTTGCAAGTTTAGAAAAGAAGCAGATGAGACAGCATGTCTGATAGTTTAGTTTTTCATCTGATAATATTAGAACATGTCAGTAATGTCTGAGGGGCTTTTATAAACACCATATAACTAACACTACTGGAGAGGGCATGAATTACACAGAGGCTTCTGGGGGGGGTCTGCTTTGCCCCCAAAATGTCTTGAAACGGCCCTGGGTGTGTGACTGAGTTTTGAAGGCGATCTGAATTGTATCAGATGTGTAAATACTACATGTGTATAACTTATTGTTTTATACAAGTAAAAATGTGTAGTGGAGATAAATCTACCTACATTTTACTTTTTGTTTTGTTTTCTTGTTTTTATTTAACTGTTTCCTGTCCTGTCTGTCTCTCATCTTCCTGCGTCTCCTCTTAATTCTCCAGAAAATCTGCTGCCTGGATTCTTACTTTTTCACCTCATCAGTTACTTTTGAGCAGATCAAAGGGATCTCCTGACCGCAAAGCTGAGAGCGTGTTTCGATGCTGCGTCAGTGAGGTGAAATCACCGCAGCACAGGTGATGAGCTGCGCAGCAGCAGAGCGCTTCAGGCACAAATAAGACAGAAAACAGAGAACATGTGCGAACATGAACGATCGTGTGCTAATTATAGTTTTTTGGTTGCGCCACTTTGAGAATGGACCGTGCGCTGGACGCAGCAGCCTGAAACGCTGCACACCTACGATCAGCGCTCTGCCGCTCTCTGTGCTCTCTGCTCAGAAGAGTCCATAAATGATGTAATATAGGTAGAAAACTTTTTTCCGGCTCCCCTGGATGTGTAGGACATCCAGCTCCCCCATAACTCCATCCCTGCTCCTGGATGAAAAGCCGGACATTTTCATCAATACAAGAACCCCCCGGACGCCCGGACAGAGAGTGAAAAGTGGACATGTCTGGGGAAAAGAGGACGTATGGTCACCCTAGTACAGTATTTTGCTCGTGCCCTTGCTGCCCTGGGCCTGGGCCTTTAGAGTTCGTGGATCCCTGGGCAATTGTCCATATGGTTAATCCGGCCTTGGGTGGCAGCAGTTCGAATGCCTTCATTCTGACAGAACATCGAGATCTCGCGAGAACACTGGATGTGTCTTAGAAGCATCTGGTCTGAGTTTTCCAGTGAAATTCAGTCTTAAAAATTACAATTATTGTCTGGCTTTTAGTATCACAGCATATCGTATCGTCTCCCCCGTACTGTGATGTATATATCGCATCGCCAGACTCGCTAAAACACGTACGAGCAGAGGAGAGCAGAACACGGCAAGTTCTGGAGTCTTATTTCCTGAAATTCGGACATCTCACCTCTTTGATGTTTTATCTCCACAAACAACAAAAGCCTGAAGGAGTTCTGCTGTGTGGTGTAGTTGTTAATGCTAACCATTAGCATCTACTAGCTGAGACGTTCTCGGCTGTTTCCTGTAAATGGCCTGTATTTGATATAGCGCCTTCTAGAGTCCTGGAACCCCCCAAGGCGCTTTACAACACAATCAGTCATTCACCCATTCACACACACGTTCACACACTGGTGGGGATGAGCTGCGATGTAGCCACAGCTGCCCTGGGGCGCACTGACAGAGGCAAGGCTGCCGAGCACAGGCGCCACCGAACCCTCCGACCACCACCAGCAGGTAACGTGGGTTAAGTGTCTTGCCCAAGGACACAATGACAGCGACAGACTGAGCGGGGCTCGAACCTGCAACCTTCCGACTACGGGGCGAGCGCTTAAATCCTGTGCCACCGTCGCCCCACGCTAAACCAACAGCAGCCTTCACCGCCGCGAGCCAAGATGGATGAGTCCATGAATGTTAGATTTCAGTGTGACGTAGATCTGTCAGGATTTTCTAATCCGAGCGTTACATCGTCTATTTTCCAATGGCGGCTAATGCAGGAAATAGGGGTAGAAGACTATTTTTACTTGTATTATCATAAAGCACTAGCATACAACGGACAGGGCTGAACTTAAAATATGTTTTCTATTCCTTCTAATCATCATTGATATCGATCAACGTGAATTTATTTTAATTAATATGCTTTGTTGCTATATTGTCCAGCCATACATCTCCATGGTTTCAAGGTGAAAAGGGAGACATGTCAATATCGGCCAAATTTAAGCCCGTATAAATGCGATTTCAAGTTTTTATAAGATCTCACAGACAAAAACTATTGTTAGAAACAATGCTTATACAGCATACTGATTATTTTTAGACACCTGTTGGTGGGAATAAGGAGACAAACCCTTCGGTGTGTCTATGGTCAACTGTCCGCCTGCACTGTGCTCCTCTGCCAACACACTTGATTTTAATAACATTATTGTCTTCATGATCTGTACGGTTAAAAAAGAAAACTCCGCTTGGCGTTTCCTGAACATGTTTGAATTTGGCCCTCTTTTATGTTGACTTTATCTCACAGTTTTCATTAGTTCACTTTTTCCCTTGTTTTACACATTTGTCTTCTACTAGAATGTTTCACCTTTTTGTAATTTGTAATCTGTAATTTGAATTGCTTTTATTTTCTGATTTATTCACTTTATTTAACTTTGTACTGTTCCATGTTCAGCGCCTTGGACTTCCTGACAGGGTTGCGGAAGGCGCTTTATAAATAAAGCTTTGATTTGATTTGAAAAATATCAGATCATTGCAATTTAAATTATTCTGGTTGATATAGTAGACAAAATAATAATAAATGGTACAATCTTAAGAGCCACAACGAAAAATTACAGCTACTCCTAGAAGTCATTCACACCTCGGTATCAAATGTTTAAGTGAGTTAATAAAAGTCTAAAATCAGCACATCAAACATGCAAGCGTAACTGAAAAAGTCTCTCTGGGTTAAAAGCCCTCCGACTGTCTAACTCACATCTAAACACAGACGCTCAGAATTTGTCCTGCAGATGAAAACGATGAAATAAAACCTCACGGTCCCGAGAAGAAAAGCTCAGAGGACGATGTGGAAAAAATTTACGTACAACTTTACTTTCAATCTATCTGTAAACGTTTCAAAATGGATATTAAATACATCTGCACTGCTGGACAACGGGAAAATCAATTAAACCATTCATTTAGCCCCTTCAGGCATGATGCCAATACTGCATTTTTCTGAATTGACTAAATCTAGCCTAAAACCACTTTGTGGTTATTTCATGGCAGCATGACCTATTAAAGGTCAACTGTACTCATTTTTAATACATGTGCAGTGGTCTCGAGTTGGAATGAATGCCTTGTGAGTCGCACTCTGGGGGAAACAAAGCTCTGGCGCACCTGTTTGAGGATGTAGAAGTTAGCTGGATGAGGGAGTGGCAGAGCACGACAGGATTTATCCCAAAATTCCACTACCTCCGCTCCGCCCTCGCCTTCCGCAGCCGCTCGCTTCTGAACTCAATTTTTCTTGGTACCCGCTCTACAACGGCTCCGCTCCGGTGCGGAGACCTGAGGTGCGCAAACAGGCATGCGCGGGATTTTCGAGATCTTGCGATACAGTCCGAGCAATAAACGCGGAAGTTAGATCCAAACACCCGTTGTGTGGGAGAAGCATCGAAATGAACTGTTTAATCTGCCCATCATTTGTGTTGAGAGATCAGCAGTGTTTGGATCAACAAAGTGTGACTACTTTGATAGTAGAAACTGTATTTATGGCTTATTTTTGTGCATTTAAAGTTCAGCCACCATTGATAGTTGTTAAAAGTTGTTAAACCCGTGCATATGAAACAAAAAACGCTTTTTATTTATCGATTTATTGTGAAATAACGGAAGTTGTGCTTGCTCCCTTTCCTGTTGGGCGGTTGTGATTTCTGTCCATTGACTGCGGAGGTGCTCCGGCGTCCGGCAAAAATAGAATCAATCCTATTTTTGCCGGACGGCGGGCGGCGCACTGCACCGCACGGCCGCAGTAGTGGAACAGCTCTGATTGACTACAACGGGACCGTTTTTGCTGCGGAGTTCATGCCGGAGCGGAGGTAGTGGAATTTTGGGGTTAGTTCTTCTTCCTGATAGTTGGACATCTCGTTTCTGATTGGCTAACAGCAACACAACCCTACCAAGGACTGTTTGCTCCGCAAAGCTGATGTTTAATCTCCACAAATAACTCGAACCTGAAGGAGTTCTGCTCTGTGGTGGAGTTGCTAATGCTAACGGCTAGCTTTTACTAGCTGTGATGCGCTTTGCTCTCTCCTGGACGCTAAACCAACAACAGCCTTCCCCGTCGTGAGACAAGATGGGCGAGTCCATGAATGTTAGCAGTGTGGCGTAGATCCGCCAGACATGGTTTTTCAGTGACGTTGACCTTTAAAATAAACCTAGGAAGAGACAAACCGAAGCTCTGATGTTCGCTTCCCTTTGGTGCAGCGTTCAGATGAAAACGCACACACTGCTACTCAATTACCCATCTCCAGGTCGTAGGGGGAGTCTTTCACAGCCAAAAGAAGCCGTTAACAAGATGCGTGAAAAAATAAACCAACAAGGCCCTTTGTGTCGTGAGCGGCGAGGCGGCACAGAGCTGGTTCGGTCGGGACATTTGCTCCACGAGATGAAAAAAGCAAAGAATTGACTTGAGGGGAAACTCGTTTGCTGTGCTGCTTCAACGCAAAACAATCAGAGCTGGTATTGATCTGCTACTGGAGCCTGGAAGCTAAACTGGAGACCTCAGTGGTCAGACGGGGAGAGTAGAGGCTGTTTAGCTCACTAAAATATAATCGACAAATACAATGGATGTTTACTCCTGAGCACACGTCACACATTTGCTGCTCTAAATAGTTATTAGGTATAAATGAAGGAAAACGGCGAGGCAAAGAGAAAATCCTCCAGATGGTCTGTGAGCTTAGCATGGAAACAGAAACGCTGCAGAGGACTGAAGGCAGATGAAGACGAGTGTGAACTACTCAGACGGCAGGGAGATTAAACTCAAAGAGAACCTTCAGAGGCTTCAACGCATGAGCTGATCAGCACACAGACGGAGGCGTTACTGCTCCACTTTCATGTTATAAAACATAGTTTAAACACCGTTCAGAAACGTGTGTGCACAAGCTCTTTAACTCTGGAATTCCTAAAAGTTTCTGCGGGAAAACATGCCAAATCATTTACTTTACATCCAGTGAAAGTGTAAGATTCAAGATGACAAAACTTAATGATTTTATTCCAGAAAACGGATGAATTTTAACTTAATCCAAATACAGAAAAGGCTATTTGTTTCGGAGGATTTGAAGCAGGAGGGGTCACACTGGCAGGTACGATGTGATGGAGTGTGTCGTACTGAAGCGCAGCGTGCTCGTGGTCGCATGAAGACAATAAGTGTGACGTTTGAACTACCAAGAAGCATAGCTGGTTCGGTTTATTCTAATCAACATGAATCATAAATAAAGGAGACATGACAGAGGGACTGGAGCAGCTGTGTGACAGCAGTAAACATCATCATGACTCTGTAATTCTTCTGCACTTAAGAGATATCTTAAGAATTTAGCTTGCTCAGAACAAACATCTCGTCTTTCCAGACAGACAGAAGACATCGATGCCTGACTGATCCAAGATGCAGAATGCTGCACAAAGCCAGATCAAAATAATCTAAGTTTTCTTTTTTCTGTTCTCCTTTTGCTTCTCTTGATGTATTAGATGTCACGTTAAAAGGGTCCGAACAGATAAACCCCACTAATGGTATCAGGATGGAATAAAAAACCATGTGGGTTAATATTACGTCTTCTCTAATGTTTACAATAAAGTTTGTGATTTTTCTAAGTGATCAACCAGCTCAGCAAAGCAGTGGGGTCCCGTGTCTAGGGATGGGTGCCTTTGGCATTTGAATCGATCCGGTACTAATTCCCGGTACCTACGAATCGATACCGGTACTTAACGGTACCAATTTTTGATACTTTTGAGTGTTTATTATTTTAATTCTCTTTTATAATTAAATATATATTTTTCTCAATATATAACAATATTTGATAAATATCACGATAAATAACATTCAACTGTTTGTATTTTAACATCGTCCTTGTAGTTTTATAAGCTGATAATTAAACTGAAGCAAACATCTTTACTGTGAACTAAATTTACTGTGTATCTTCATTTCTTTTGCCGTCCTTTTTCATTTGATTTTTCCTACTGGGAAGCTAGAATTTCCGAGGAGAAAGCGAACGCACCATTAGCTGATAACAACGGTGGCAATGGAAGCTAACATATCAAGCTAACGTTATCTTAAACAGTTTATTTAGCTGCTGGAGCAGATTAAAGCGATGATGCCTCACACTTAGATCGTTGTCGCTGGTTTCATCTTCACCCAATCACCCGTCGCATTTAGTAAAGTGAAGCCAAACTTTAGAGCGCGTTCTTGTTCTAGTCGGAAATTCGGAGTTCCGAGGAGAAAGCGAACGCACCATTAGTGAAACGGAAGCTAACATATCAAGCTAATGTTATCTTAAACATTTTATTTACCTACGGAGCAGATTAAGATGAGGATGTCTCACTTAGATCGTTGTCGCTGGTTTCATCATCACCCAGTTACCCATCACATTTAGTGAAGTGGACCCAAGCGTTAGCGTGCGTTCTTTCTACCATGCTGCTCTGTTTACAACTGGCTCGCAGCGACCGACGACATAACGCTCTTGCGCATGCGCAGCTGTCTTGGCAAGTTCTCGTTATGAAGGACGGGTACCGAAACGAGGCACCGTTTGAAATGACATGAATCGGTGCTCGGTCAGTACTGTGGAATTCGGTCGGTACCTTAAAAAGTACCGAATTCGGTACCCATCCCTCCCCGTGACCATGACCCACTCACAGTATCCCAGCATGCTTTGGGCTGGATGAGCCCATCAGCATGACCACAGCGTCCCACTGATCACTCAGATGCTTCTGGATTCAGGAAGGGTGGCCTTGCAGCAGCTGCTTCTCTAGCGGGTGGATCATAAAACAGAGATGAAGAAGGCCTGAGACTCCGAGGGAGAAACAGGGTGGATGCCGAATCCATCAAATGCTGCAGTTAGTTAAACTCTAGATAAAGTTAATGGGATCACCCTCTACGTAATAAAGGGCAGCATCAGCTGGATTAATGCAGGAGGAAATGAACTCAGGAAACAAAACACGACTGACAGGTCAGAACGATATGCTGAGGAACTCACCATGTAGTGAAGATCATCAAAGCCATTCAGGAGCAGCTTGCTCTCGTACTGCGGCAGCCCCACGTGCTCCAGCCAATCTCCCACAGGCTGATCCAGGAGCCGGCTCGCACCACCTGCCGAGAGGGGAAAGCGCTTCAGGAGGGAGAAACCTTTGAGCCGGTAGCAGCGGCACTCTGACGACGAGACGTGGCATTGCCACATAATTCTCGGCCAGCAGAGCCGAGCGCACCGGCAACAGGAGGGCGGGGGAGACAGTGTCCTCTGTGGATGGGGCGTCAGCTCCCGCAGGGCTGCGGGGGCCGGACCACAGTCACCAGAAACTGGAGGCAAACTGGCGGTGCTGATACTCATTCGACTCACGGTTCCAGGTTCAACTCTCAACCAAGAAAACCAGCGTCTCAAATTAGAGCAAATAAGTAAAAAGTCGCTTAAAACTTGGGTTTTATTTAGTGAGGCTCCATCTTTGTGAAGTCACCAGAGAAGAGACAGAGACCCAGACTTCAGAGGAGTTCTTCCAGTGGCGGATTATTTCAGCGGAGACAAAAGATTTCTGCTTCATTAGTTCCTTCGTTCGTGTGGTCAAGAATCCGGGAATCAGCTGGAGACGTTCGTGCTCACGAGGAAAGCGGAAGTCAAAGAGACCGACGCAAACTTGTGAAACGAGTTTAGTGAGCTGAGACTGATCTGAGAGCGGCAACGATCTACAGAAGCACACAACCGCCTCTGGTCCTGTCGACACATTTCTGTCCTGAAATCAGCTTCTACAACTCGTTAGTCAACATCCGGCTGAAACTCGGTCAGGTTTGACCTTTGACCGGACCAGGGAGAAGACCACAAACATCCTCATCTACATCACCAAGGACTAAATCAGCACATCTCTTTTCCTCGACTCGCAGTCCAACATCCACAAGTTTTTTATGTTAAAGAGGAAACGTGAGAATCCAAAAGCTCTTTTGGCTGAAGCTCGCTGGAAGATCCTCTTCAGGCAGGAGTGCTGAAATAGTCCAAGACGTGAAGAGCAGCAGTGTTCTCTACCATCTAGTCTACACCAGTGTGAACGTTAAAGCAGACTCTAATCCTGCACGATGAAGCGAAGTCCTCCTTTTGTCCTGCCTGTTCACCACCCTCCGACTCCCCTCCCTCCCTCTCTCTCCTCCCCCCTCCCTCTGAAATACTGCAGGTGGCCGCTCTTTATCATTTAAGCCCCCCGTTTCAGTTTATGACCCCAGCTCCCAACGCTTTCATCGCTTGTGTTTGATTTTTGGGATCCTGAAGCATCCTCTCGTCCTGTAGTCCTGTCAGTTTGACGCGGAAGTTAATCAACAGAGAGCAGGAAATACAAGAAATGGCATCGATCCACACAAGTCCAGGCATCGATCAGGGGTGGGGTGGAACCAGTGACGCAGCTTCTTCCCCTGACGGTTTCCTTGAAGCTCACATGTCCAGAGGAGAGGATTCATGTAGGCCGTGACGGGCTGCTAACTCCTTTACTGCAGTAGTGTCAGCTTTCCTCAAAGTGAAATGTGCAAGCAGCCCGCTCCTGTGCACGGCATCGCAGACCAGAACGGCAAGAGTGTGAGAACGGGGGGGTGTGCCGCATTGTTTAAATCTATGGAGAAGAAGCCGGAGCAGAGTGAAGGTGAACGCTGAGTGATGTGAGAGGGGAATGCTGAAGAGAAGGGAGTCGATCGTTCAAGCACCATCCATCAACCGGGCTGACAGGCTTTAGAAAACACAGAGGAGCAAAAGGACGGCGGGTGCAGAATCCTTAAGAGCCCACAACAAATATAATCAAGTGTCTCTGAGAGCCGGTCCCCTAAGAATCCAAGTTAAAAGCTCCTACGAATGGAAACCCTAACCCTGAAAGAGCACGAACTTAGGAGCATGACTCAAACCCAAGATAAGGCAGCCTATAGAAAATAAAGACGTTGCTTGGGTCTACTAGCTTTTTCGTTTCTGTGATAATAAATGTATGCAGCTGCGGTTTCACAGAACCTGAAGGCAGATTTAAAGTTTTCTATATAAACCAGAAGAATCTGAGGTCTGATTCTAACCAAATTATTCATGAAACAGCTGTTCTGTCTATTCTACAGACTACATTCATCCAAAACGACACAGTTCACCGTTCTGTCCCCAAACATTTAGATTTCTTTGATGATTCTTCTTTCTATGGCGTAGTTAAACTAAGCTTTTACAACACAGACAGACAGTGATGGAGGTATTTTACCTGGCGTGGAGTACTGCTGATCTCTGGAAGACTCGATGCCAGCTCCGATCAGGGTCATGATCTTCTCAATCTGAAGACGGGAGAGGAGAGTTAGGAACCAGGGAGGGCTGTCACAGTTAGCCTCCACCTTCCAGCAGTCTCTTGGTCTTAATCACTGAAGCCATTCCACGCTCTCTCACACGCGCCTCTCAGTCCAAGTTGTAAAAATACGCGGTTTCACGATGTTATGAGTCCCGCAAGAGCCTACAGCTCTGCTCCTGACATGAATGCATCGCTTTGGAAATTATGTCTAAAATGCACTCACTGGGCATTTTTCAGGGAAGTACATAAAATTATCCGAGATGCAATACGGATGCAAAAAGGGTCGTATTTTGTTTGGGCAATATTATTAGGGCGTATTAAGGTTGGCAATAAATCGAAAATTTATCGATATCAAACTTTCTGACTCTAACCAATATCGTTTTGCCCATGTCAAAAAATTTGATGATAAAAAAAACGAAAAGAGGTGTGTAGGTTGGCGATGTTCGTGTCCCTTTAAGAAGCTGTACCACCTCGAGTCAAATAGCCCCATCTAGTGGTTAGCTTTGCTCTGCCAGACATGTAGTTACTATCTAGTTATCGTTAAATGTGAAATCCTCGGTATACCGCGATATTGGGTGTTTCTCAATGTCAAGGAACCTTGCCTTGATCTCTTGGCCCCACGCCGGTTGCCTAGGAGATGCGTCATCAAGAACCGCCAAGATGTGTTCCAATGTTCAAGTTCTACCGAAGCGTGTGTTCTCTGTTTGTTAGCCATTTAGCTAGCTGAGCGAGGATACACGGGAGGTGTCATGTAGCCTAGCCTTGGTCAAAAATTACCCAGAATACACCACAGTATTTTCAAAAGGACGGCATATCAGACGCCGGCGGCTACATCGGGGACAATTTTCAAATTTAAAGGTAAGAGAACCAATTTAAAATGTTTTTTTTAGATCCAAAGAAGTTATCTGTGATTGGTTAGTTGCTTAGTAGTTGCAGCTTTGGTGGCTAGCGGGTAGTAACTCGCTTATATTTTTTATTTAAGAAACATATACACAATTAAAAAGATTAAAGGCTCGTTATATATTTATATTGAAACTAATACGTATAAAATATAACGTTATCTCCCGTGTCACGTGATGCAAGTCTGTTCCATTTAACCATTTTCTTTGACCAAGGAAGGACAGTGTCCTCGTAAGCCAGGCGCCTTGACATTGAGAAACACCCATTGATTTTAGGCCATTTCGCCCAGCCCAACAACAGCCTTAAAGTTTGCTGATGACACTGCTAAGTGACACTTTACGCGGTCTGGAATAAGATCAATGCATCTAAATCATGTTCAGCTCATTCTAATAATGAGGTATGTTAGATGTAGTCTCAATCACCACCAATAACACAAAGAGGGTTGAATGAGTGAGTACAGCGTGGGATGACCAAAAACCCAATAAATAAATAAATAAAGCAGACAAAAGAGTGTCACTCTGCCAAAGCAAATAAAACTGTTCTGTGTTTTCATACAGAGAAAAGTGATGGATGGATCCATTCTTCCACTTTATCCTGGCGTTAGTCATTGGACACTTGAGCCTATTCTGCACCAGGAACCATCAGAGCAGAGCAAGGCTGCATGTCACCCACAAGGGGAATGTCAAGAGAAAGGAAAAACACAGACCTAAAAACAGTTCAGACACATAAGCTGAACAAACATGCAAACTTTGGACCGACACCCGAGGGAAAAGAAGACAAATGTGTGTTTGTACATTAGTCTCCCCCGTTGTTTAAAGCTGGAGAAGATGCTGAAACAAGCTGTATCGTGTTTCTGAACTTATTTCAGTCCATTTGAGAGAAAGCACACACGTTATGCACAGCTAACAGGACCCGGACACGTGTGTTTTCACCAAGCAGTCACAAAGATCCACATGCCAACAACATGCAGCCAATCAGAAAGCAGCGATGACCGTCACCTCCATCCCAGAGCAGAAAGACGTCTCCTATTTTAACTGGTGGAAATAGATACTGAAGTCGGGTGTTCAAGGCCGCTTGATTTTGTCACAATTATTTTCACTATTCTGACTCTTGAGCACAAGTGCTGCTGCTCAGAAGCCCAAAAGATGCATTCCCATAATTAAAAATTCAATGAAGAGCAGTTAGGTCTAAATTATCATCAATCAGCCTGTGGATGCTCAACAGTAAAAGGGTGTGCAGTTAGTAGTAGAAGCCTCGGCAAGACTGAAAAAGACATGTAACCTAATGAAGTATGGAGCAGTCAGACTGGACGTCCAACACCAGGAAAGGAAACAAATGATCACCAAGATTATTATGTTTCAAAGGGATTCCTGAAGCCTGAGAAGAGCCCTTCTACCTCAGCAAAGAACGAGGACAGAGTCAACACCTCTCCCCCAAACTTGACCAGCAGGTATTCACAGAAACGTAGATATCTTACGCTCTTAGATCTTCGATGTTTTGGGGAAGGAGATGTCGTCTGAATCTGCTGAGAAAATCCAGAGTTTGTTTTGACCTGTGCACTGACAGTCTGCTTTCTCCAAGCAGGTCTGATTCATTCAATTATACACACTTCAGTGGCCATTCTAGGGGCGGGGCCACAGTGGCATTGGCCCCTGCTGACATCTGATTGGCCCCTGAAGTCCCCGTGCCCTGTCACCCTTCTGCCCTGTGTGTGATAATCAGATTATAGGTGGGTGCATATCCAAGTCCAAACACTAGTGGCATTATTGAGCCAAACAGGATTTTTTCCCCCACCCACGAACGTACTTTACACAAAGACTACTTGAAAAAATGTTTATTCAATGCTAAAATTTCTCTAATGCTGTGTGTATTTGTATTTTCTGTGTACATTAAAAATGCACGTGAAATTACATTAAAGCATTTTAGCATGTTGGTGGTGAAATGTTACCTCCATAAAGCGAGTTTTAGTTTGTAGTGAAGTTGGACTCATATTTGGCCCATCTATAAAATAATGTGGCCCCTTGATGGCCCCATAAGGTGTGTTTCCAGTGTCAGAACTTCTGGGACGTAAATTCATCTTTTGTGTCTCCATACAAGTTAAGTCCCTTGAGGACTTTGGAAAGATGTATACGCTGGACTTGGTGCTGAGGACACTATTAAAGTATCTTTCTGGAGTTTTCCCCTTTCAGAAATGATGCATGATTTTTCAGAAATCCGTAAAATTCATTATCTTATCATGTACTGTGAAATAATGTAAGCAATGTACGTTTATTTTGGCCCCCCAGAGCTCCGTGCAATAGGAAACTGAGCGCTGACCAGAACTAACCAATAGCATTAGACTACCGCTTACATGCTTCAAATTTAAGGAATACCTCAACTGATGCAGAGTTGATGAACTTTTCACGGACAACTCTTTAAAATATAAATATATGAGAACACAACAGGATATGAGAATAATACTTGTAAAACAACGTGTTTTAGTTCTGTTTGTCGGCTACAGAAGCCCGTTAATAAACAAGAAAACATGAAGTCGTTATCTTAAAACATTGGAGCGAATGTGCCACATAGAGATGGTGCCATCGAATAAGAGAAATACTCCGGAAGGAGACTTTAAGACGTAAGTTCCTGTTCCAGAGCTGTAAATTGTCCCTTTGAAAATCAAACAAAATGGATGTAGGATGAAATGGTAAGGTGATACAGAGCTGTTTTTACCGTGTTGGACTCAACTAGACTGAATTTGTCGAAACTCAATAGGACCAATCTGGAGGCCTTTAGATAGCCTCTTTGGAGGCAAAGTGTTTAAATTTGTTCTAAGGGTTCGGGTTGGGATAGGGAGCCTAATCTCCTCCGCTTCCGGTCGGCTCACGGGTCCCCGGAAGAACGAAAATGAACGCAAGTCAACGGGGCTAAAAGTGTTGTTTTCTAATCCGCTTTGCCTTACACCCTGGATCACACATGTTGTACTGCAATTTAAATGAAAACTAATGATAGGTGTTTCGACCATGCCAGTCACGTACTTTGAGATTTATTAGCTTGTAAAAGTTCGTAATTAGCATGACTACACACTAGACATCGTTACGTCACATATATGACATCACCACATAATCTCCTCTCTCCTAGCGTAGCTGCTACTTACCACATGACCAGATTTATGGTGGTTCTTTCCTCCTGTGGGAAGTTTGCTGAACTTACAGCTATTTTCCCTCAGTTTCTCCGTGTCTGCTTCAATGACGTCCCTTTCGTGAAGCGCATTAGTAGTCCTGGACAAAACCTAAAAAATCGTTCCCCCTGTTCGAAAATGCATCTTTAAAATTCACGGACATCATACGTGAAATCCATGGCGCAAAACAAGTAGAATTAGAAAATGGCGTTTTTAGCCCCATTGACTTGCATTCATTTTTACGTTCCTCTGGGGACCCATGATGCCGAAGTAGGTGGGTGTGACTTAGGCTCCCTATGGAGGCAATCCCACCTGAGGATAGCCTTTGGTCACATAATTGAGTAACCATGTGATAGAGGTAAGGAAGTTGGCTTGAAGTGGGTTTTGGGGGTGCGGTTTCTGCTGGTGAAGAACAACTCATGCACTATAGTTCTTAGGATATTAAAAAAGGTAATTTGGAGGATCACCTCTGGGCCACGAATCCTTAACGGAAGATTGTAGAGAACTGATTTCATCTGTGTTGAAGTCTGCTCAGCCTCGTGAGTTAGTAGACACCCAACATGGCCGGCCTATCTACAATCCTTTTTTTAAGGCTGACCTCCTTGGGTTAGTTTGGGTTGTGTCGAAGATTGTACAAAATGATATTAACTCTAAAAGTAATAGTGAACATTGCAGGTGTGACCTTTATTGTCTCAAATCATTGATGAAGTTTGCCTAATAACCATTCAACCCTAAAAAAAAAGCTCTAATAAATCATTAAGACCCAAAACGTTCCGATAATCATGTTCATAATGGGCGTATTTCATCTTCTGACTACAACTGTGAAGACGTGCAATCTGCTGTTGGTTAGAACGAAAAGAAAGAAAAAAAATCAATTAAAATAGAAAGAAAAATAACGGTTTGAAAGTAAATGACAACTAAATCAAAAGGAAGAGGTTCAAAGCTGAGTGAAGCTGCCCCTCACCCACATCAGTAATCCACGCAGGTAGGTTATGTTTGTGCTGCTTTGCTTTTTGGGATAGTACACCTTTTTGGGGGGCAATGACATCTGTCATTTAAATGTTCACCTTTTAAACACTTTGTTGTATTCCTCATACAATTTGATTTAAAAAAATTAGGTTCAATACATTAAAAAAGTAAATAATGTATTAAAATAAAAATTGTTTAGGAACTTTGTTAAATTTACAAACAAAGGCACTAAGTCATTTCCAAAAGCCATTTTCCAGCAGAAACGGGTTGAAAAGCATTACACTATTACTTGTAAATAAACGTTATATGTACTAGCACCTTATCAACATCATGGTATGTGACTGTAAATACAACAGCAGCACTAACCATTCCACCCGTTTGCTTGGATTTCTGATGTGGGGCCAGCTTCATTCAGCTGAGGTTCAACACCTTTAGAGAAAATATCCAATTATCTACTTGATGTATTTAGATTGTTTTCATAACCCCTAATAACTGAACTTTAATGAGAAAGCTGTAGATGAGCGAGCTCCCAGCACGTGCTGCTTTAGTGAGGACAAGGTCTTCGTGGTCTGCACAAGAAGCAGGAGAACAATCCTGACGGAGACATCGGTCATCCGAAACAGGAAGGATGAGGACAATAATGTAACGGAATGAAATGACTGTTTTCCAGCTAAAAGTCTTTTTCCCCCTCTCCTCAGCAAGAACTAATCTGCATGAGATATTGTTCAAGTCTCATGCATCTGCTTCTAAACTGTTTTCCTTTCCAGCCCAAGAGAAGAATGAAGACAAAGGACTCTTTCCTTTTAATAAATCAAAGAACTCTATTTTTAATAAGCTAGTCAAACAAAGTGTTAGTCAATAATAAACTGTGAACCAATTTGTGAAATGAAAATATTAATTACTTGATATTATAATCCTACAGAATAATTAATAAGTAATATAACTTTAAATGTTTCCACTAGGACCGATCACACGTAGTGTAATGAGATGACACGTGGCTTTACTGATCCAATCAGAATCTTCCAGATCTGACGGAGGCGTGGTTTTGGTGGTGCTTGGTAAATCTGCCATCTTTTCATTCGACCATAAACCAAAACATCAGAAGTATAAAACTATGCCCACGTCATCTTTAATGCCAGTTCAAAGCTTTCTAGAGAAGTTGTCGTAGTGGCCAATCCGTAACTTTCCTCTTCAGCCAAAAGAACCAACGACAAGCTGGATAAAATCTGTTGCCGTTCCACCTGCTGCAACGGTTCCTTTCAGAATAAAAGCTGAACTCGCTGACCCTCCGGGTCCATCTGACTCTGTCAACCAACTGTCGCTTTTTACCTGGAGACAATCCAAAGACTAGTCTGTCGTACTGCTGACGCTGTTTCATCGGCTCCGGTACCGAAAGAGGGGTTCGAGGACCTGGCATTCTGGATCTGTACGGAGGTCTCATTCTAAGGGTATGTGTGGAGCGACAACATGGCGTCTCATGTGTGTTTATGAAACTCTGAATCAAAGCTTAAGAGTGAAGACATCACCTTCACTCCCATCAGAACTAATCGTTTCTCCAGATTTGCTGATTCTGAGCAACATTACACACTACACCATTCTCCGTCTCAATTCACCTTAGTTACGCCATACATTTAGTGGTTAAAGTTAGTCTAGTTTAAATTTGTTTAGTAATAAATTTTTTAACTTTTAAACTTGACTCTCTCTTCTGTTGTCTCTGAGTTAATACAAAGTGTTACATAATCCCTGCAATAAAAAGTTCCAATCTTCTGGTTAAAATGTACCCACAGATCCATAAGATTGGTTTCATATTTATTATGGAATCTCATGTTTTATGGTTCATTAAATAATATGAATATTAAATTCTTACAATAAGGTTCTGACTTGAGCTCTCCCTCTGAAGTCCAGTAATAAGTTTATTTCTACTAGGGATGTAAGAAAATATCGATATGGCAATATATCGTGATATTTTTTCCAGCAATATTATATCGATATTCAAAAGCCGTGTATCGGAAATATCGATATGGCAATATATCGTGATATTTTTTCATGCGATTATTACATCAATATTCAAAAGCCGTGTATCTAATTCTTGAAAGAATTTACATGCAAACATTTGAGTATTTTCTTTTCGTTTTGTGCAATTCAATCGCCACCCGCTAGTTGGCAGCAGTGTGCAATGGGTTTTGTTTCCACCATTGAAATGTAAATCCCTCCATCATGGTTCAGATACCTCATGTTAACATGTTACGCATCAGTTTGGACTGTTTATTGAACATTCTTACGATAAATTCAGTAAAAAAAAATTGCTTGTGACGTCTGACTGAATGTATCACAATATATCGTGATACATCGTATCGTCTCCCCTGTATCGTGATATGTATCGTATCGCCAGAATT